CGAACCTGTGTCCCCTGCATCGGCAGGCGGACTCTCAACCACTGCACCACCAGGGAAGCCCCGACCCTGACTCTTAAACATATGTTTTGCCAGAAGAATAGCAAACTAATGCCTATGGCAAGATAAACTTGCATTTTTGTACTTAAATGCCATTCATAATACATGCTGAGCAGCACCTCAGTTGGGGGATGGTCATCCAGTTTAACAACTCAGATGGGGTAGAATTATGAAACCTACAGCATCCTCTAATTTGAGATTCCATTCTGAATTAGTTTTCAGACTGAGTCACTTTAAAAAGCGCTGTTCAAAATGTCAGTTAAATGGTAAATACCAGTTGTATATAATTTTTGTTTCTCAAAGGGAGAAGTGATCTATGATGTTTGCTGGATTGTTTTTTAGGCAATATATGAAATGTCCCGAGGTGAACAGGATTTAATTGAGGATCTCAAGCTTGCAAGAAAGGTCAGTAAATAACTTTCTATCATGTGCCATAGTTTTTAAAAATTACATTTCACAAATTCTAAAGGATGATTTTCCTACCTTTAGAAGTTGAAAAGTAGAGAATACTGGTGAATACTTCTTTTAGATGAGGTTTATTAGATGCATCTCTTCAAATATGAATATCAGTATTCATTTGAATACTGGGGCTTAACATATACTTTAATTTCTTTTATGTATAAAATAGAATCCACACTAGCTTTACATTGTTAGTCATGCTTGCATTCAAGTACAGATCTCTCATCATGTTTTATTTGCTTGATCTCTTTGTGTGACACATTTCTCCCCTCTGACAGGCCTACCATGACCCCATGTTAAAGTTGTCTATTATGTCAGAAGAGGAACTCACACAGATATTTGGTGATTTGGATGCTTATATACCCCTGCATGAAGGTAAGATATGCTACCTAATTTTCATAGGATTCTGAACAGCAGTAACAAGTAATTTTAAATCTAAACTAACTTAGTGCTGAATATTTTTAAAATTTTTATTGAAGTATAGTTAATTTAAATATTATTAGTTTCAGGTGTACAGCAGTGATTAAGATTTTTTATAGATTATACTCCATTTAAAGTTACTATAAAATATTGACTATATTCCATGTGCTGTACAATATATCCTTGTAGTTTATTTGTATTATACACAGTAGTTTGTACCTCTTAATCCCCTGCCCCATCTTGCTCCTCCCTGAATTATTTTTTAAATAAACCTATTATTGGCATTTCTGCTTCTTTACACTTCAGATTTGTTGGCAAGAATAGGAGAAGCAACCAAGCCTGGTGGAACAGTAGAGCAGATTGGTCACATTCTTGTGAACTGGGTATGTAGCAAGTTGTTGCCTTCAGATAGGTTTATACAGATGTGCCAGACTTGTCATTTGTGATCAGTATCACATTGATTTGATCCAGTTACTGGATTCTAAAATCAGATAAATAAGGCGTTAAAACTGAACAAATTTACATAGCTGTAGAAGTTACAGTCTCTGTTTAAAAAATATTTCATGAATGATGCAGTTTCATTTGTTTTAAGAATATGTTCCTCCTTAGACAGAATTCCCACATTATATACCATCAATTATCTGTTTTATTGTCTCAGTTAACATTTGAGTGCCTGCCACATGCCAGCCACTGTTCTAGGAGGGGTGACTAGAGATTCAGTGATAAAAGATGGTCTCTGCATTTATAGTCAAGTGAGAGAACAGTCAGTAAATAACCAGTCTCAAGGCTGTTGAAGAATGTGAGAGAGGAGGGCTCAGGTGTCCTGGGAATATAGGAGACCGGCATGTAACTGAGGCTGGGGGAAGTAGGAGGCATGAGTCTTTGTTTGGTTTTAGCCATATTAGGGAAATTGAAAAAGGGCATTCTCAGATTGGCCCGAAATACTATCCAACCCCCATTATCACCTGCAGGAGAATTTTCACAGCTTGTTAAAACTTTCAAGAATAACTATAAGTATTCTATGGTAAATTATGTTGGTTTTTCAAATGTTAAACTGATTCTGAACTACTGTGATAAACCTCAAAGGATCATATAATAAGCTTTTGATTAAAAAAAAGAACAGCTATAAGTTTTCTGTTCTGTGTCCACAGTCTTACTAATGGACTAAATTGTAACAGGAACTCATTATACTTTGTTTTCTCTTATTACTCTTCAGTTGCCAGGCTTGAATGCCTACAAAGGCTACTGCAGTAACCAGCTGGCAGCCAAAGCTCTTCTTGATCAAAAGAAACAGGATCCAAGAGTCCAAGACTTCCTCCAGCGATGTCTTGAGTCTCCCTTCAGTCGAAAACTAGATCTTTGGAGCTTCCTAGATATTCCTCGAAGCCGCCTCGTTAAATACCCTTTACTGTTGAAAGAAATTCTTAGACACACTCCAAAAGACCACTCTGATGCTCAGCTTCTGGAGGAAGCTGTAAGTAGTCCAATAAGTGATTCTTACGTTTTTCACTCTCACACTGTCTGCATGTTGAATCAGCACAGTGAAGTTTTCTGTAGTCGTTTTAAGTTCTCGTATGTTACTGCACTGTGCACTAATAAAGAGATGTGTAATACATAACACATTTTATATTTATATTTTAGTTAGAAGACCGGATTCTAATCTGATCTCTTCCATCAGCTAGCTGTGTGACTTTGGGCAAATCACCCATTTGGCTGAGGCTGTAAAATGAAGGGACGGCTGAACTACCCGATTTCTAGAGTCCCTTCAAGCTTTAACATTTTATCATTTTAATGTGACATTTTAGTCCTGTAGGGAAACAGTATAAACTAA